GCTGAATCCCAGATGGATGAATGCACGGTTCAAGTCCCAGACCTGGTAGCTTGAGAAACACTGTGTGTATGTGTATGGGGGGGCGGGGCACGCGCACGGGCACACACCCAAAATCTCAAGGGGTGGGAGAGACAGAGAAGGGATTACAATGTGGTCTTGCCCCATGAGGGGAGATTTCTCACTTTTCCTCTTTCTCTGTTTCTCTCTGGTGAGCACATATGCCCTCTGGAAATTAAAAAAAAAAAAAAAAAAAAAAGAGAAATCATAGGGTGAGACGTAGGAAGCTGAGGCTGAGCTGCCCGATCTCCACGATCTCCACATCGGCCATTCCAGCCCCTGCGGGTGACCATTCCCTTCCAGGGAGGTCTGTGTCCTGGCTCTCGGGTGTCACCTGCAGACACAGGCTCCGAGTTCTGTTGGGGCTGCCTCCTTCCCTGTGCCCTCTGCTGCTTGCTGGCCACGGGCAAGGCAGAAAGGCCGAGCTGCGGGCCTGGAAAGCATGCAGCACTCCTGTGTTGGCAGATGCCACACAGCTCAGGTAATCCGAGCGCCTCTAACTAGGTAAACACTCACAGGTCTCTACTGGACCCATGGGTGGAGCCTTAAGCCCTCTGCAGATCACTCTCTCTTTGGCCCTAGGGAACAAGCGATTTTGGAACAGGAGAGAGGGGATTTTTCCACTGAAGTAAAGACGTGGATGTTCTGTCAAGGGTGGATGGGAAGGAGCTCTCCTTCAGGCACTGTGGGCCGGCAGTTAAGAATTCTTCATCTCTGAATGGCTCCCTAAACTTGAAACGCAGCCGCAGTGGACCCCTGACCTCCTGCCGGCTTTCACGAGCCTGGGCTGTGTCTGCCCCTTCCTCTGCTGCGTGAGGGCCACCACATCGCAATGTGGGATCTGGGTACAGCCCTTCCTGGGACAGTAGACAGAGGCTGGGCTGCAGAGCCCGTCCTTGGCGTTTAGCCCTCAGCCAGCCCTAAGGATCTGACGTTTCAGATGAACAGCTGACCAGATATTTCTAGTCATTCTGCGGAACATTCGCGCTCTCTTCTCTGCAGAGAGTTTTATTTATTTATTTGGAGAGGTTTTTGGTATAAGGCACGTGCACTTGTCAGAAAGACAGAGAGAGACAGAAAGTGAGAAATCACCCCCCAGGGGGGATGGCCACGCCGCAATCCCTTCTCCTCCACTGTCCTCTCGGGATCTTGGGCACACACGCACATGCACCCGGCGTGAGTTTAAGCCACCGGGTCTGGGACTCGAATCGTGGTCAACTACATGGGAGTCCAGCGACGTAACCATTACGCTACCTGCTGGTCCCTCTCTGTTGAGATTATCAACACAGTGAAGTATCCACTGAACAAGTGCAGACAGCAATCCCCAGTGAGAATGACTCGGAAACAAACCCACAGTCAGCCCACAGGTGGGAAATGTGATTACAGAAGAGTCAAGGTTCTCGATCACCCAGACCAATATACAAAAGCTCCTGAGAGAAAGACCCAGGTCCCTGCTTCTGCCCTCAGGTAGCCGGGACTAACCCCAAAAAGGGCAAGTAATTCGACCCGGACCCATTAGCTGGGCTGACAGCTAAGTCAGGAATCCGAGCCCTATTTGGCATGCTCCTTCTCCAGCCTTGTTCCTTCCAGATGTGGACTAGCTGGAGGGGAGAGGAGACATCAGGCCTGCCTCTGGCAGGGGCATGAAGGCCTGTTCGTGCTGATCAGAGTAGGCGGCACTGGCCGTGTGCCAGCCCCTGGGACAGCACTTCCTTACGTTCTTGTCTAGTCCTCAGGGCTCGAGTTTAGGGGTCCGCGTATGGTCCAGTTTGGAGACCAGCACACCGAAGCTCCGAGAGGAGATGAACTTACCTCAGATCATTCTGTGAGAAAGGGGGAACCCAGAGCTCTAACTCAGCAATCATGTTCCCCCCCACTGAACTGTGCGGCCTGAACTCTGACTAGGGTATCTGCCCCCAGAACTGGGAAGGCCAGGGAGCCCAACATCCTCTAGCACCCCACACACTCTGAGAAACAGGATTCCTTTTAAGGTACTTCAGCCTCCCGCCAGCCACTTTGGCTCTTGGAAGGAAGGGCCTGGGCAGAAAGGGGGAAGGGTGAAGAGGGAGCAGCAGGCTCCCTCCAGCAGGGACTGGGGTCTTCATGAAAGTGAAGCAGGGGCTGCTGAGAACCCTCCGGCTGTGGTCAGTGCTTGCTCTTCATCGCAAGGTTCTGGACCCCTGTCCCTCCTCGCTGGCTTCCTGGGGAAGATCCCAACCCAGTGGCTGGGCTCAAAGGGCCTACCCTACCAACAGGCGTCCTGAGCAGATTTTCCTCCTGGCAGGTCCTTGGGTTTCACCCATTTCTCAGCCCGTGTTCCTGATTCCCAGGGCTGCTGGATGTGGGCCCCGACACGGGACCAGGGAGAACAAGGGAGGCCTGTCTCAAGCTGCGGGTCTCCCCCAGAGGGAGAAGGACTTTTGTGTCTGGGAACAAAACACTGCCTGGAACTGGCTCCCAACCTCGTGGCTTGGAGAACTGTCTTCCCTTGTGGGTGTTCCCAAGGGCATGAGTATGCCCCCTGCTGGTTTGGGGTGTTGGAAAGGGAGCCAGCATTGCTGTGTCCCCACCGTGTGTGGTCACTCTTACATACACCAGAGCCACAGTGTGGTGACTGGGGTCACAGAGGCCTCACTGGTGGATGGACTGAGTTAGAATCCCAGTTCTGGAGCCCAGCAGATGGTGTAATGGTTACATCGCTGACTCCCACGTAGTTCACCGTGGTTCAAGGCCCAGACCCGAAGGCTAAAAACTTATGCTGGGTGTGAGTGCACGCATGCCCAAAATCCCAAGAGGAGAAGGAGTAGTGGCATGGCCATCCCCATTGAGGATGATGAAGGCTAAAAACTTATGCTGGGTGCGAGTGCACACATGCCCAAAATCCCAACAGGAGGAGTAGTGGCATGGCCATCCCCCATTGAGGATGATTCTTGATTTCTCTCTGTTTTTCTGGCAAGCGCATGTGCCCTATAGCAAAAAACTCTTGGGGGAAAAAAAGAAAGAAAAAATACTCTCTTAAAAAAAAAATAAGTGAAAGAATCCCAGCTTCTTCCATCTGTGTGACCACAAGCAAGTTGCCAAACCTCTCTGAGCCCTGTTCTCCTTCGCTGTCAAATGGGCACAGACGTATTATCCGTGCTCGGGGAAATGATGAAATGGGAGGCCGTCCGTGAACCGTAGTGCGCTGCAGGCGGTCAGTCAGTGGTGGCCTGGGTGCCCTGGCTGTGGCAGTTCGAAAGGCCACGCCAAGTCATCTCACCAGAAGAAGAGGGCCCTGTGCGGCTTCATGCAACCTAACGCATCTTTTTTTTTTTTTTAAGAATTATTTTATTTTAACTTTATTATTTTCTAACTTGACCAGAGAGAGACAGAGAGAGAGAAAGGGAAAGTGAGAGAGGAAGCCACTAGGTTCAGGACGTGAGCCATGGTTGGCCGCATGGGAGTTCAGCCCCTTTAACCACCACGCCACCTGCCCTCCCTGCCACAAACACACTTTCCCAGAAGCTACCCGAGCACACTCCCCTCAGATCTCACTGGCCAGAAGTGGTCTCAGCGAGTCCTGAACCAGTTGTTGGTAGGGAGTGGAATTGCCTTGGTGGGCTTAGGTGACTCGGGCTCTGTCCCTAGACCTGGGGATCTGGCACTCAGTTGCCCTGAGTCACTTGGCTGCCTGTATGGAGCTGGGGTTCCCTAGCAAGGGGGAGGGGACTGGTGATGGGCAGGCAGACAAATGGCATTGCTGTTCCTGTGGAATTGCCCTCCGCTCTGTATGGTTGTATGACCCCAAGTCCTTGTCCCAGGGTCCTCAAGGCAGAAAGGGACTGAAGGAAAGGGGGATATCAGAGTCTGGGAATGGGGACTGACCCCCAAACCTGAAAGCTCACACGTATTCAGGTGAAAAGGATTATCCGAGAAAGGCAGAGAGGGGTGTACCAGCAAAGTACATGAGCCCGAGGAGCTGGGGTTGGTGCAGAACCTGGAACCGGGGACAGTGGGCCCCGGGAGAGGACAGCAGGCCCCAGCCTCAGCCCTGTGCCTGGCTCAGCCTCCCAGGGCTCTGTGCACAGGGAGTGCCTGAGCGCCTCCTACACACCAGGCCCTAGGCAGGCACTCGGAGGGCGGTTAAACCACAGCCCCGACAGTGTGCCAGGTGGAATGCTGGGAGGCAGCTGGGAAGCTGTGGGGCCTGTGCTGTGGCAGCGCCAGGGCCAAGGGGAGGAGGTGGTTGTTTGCAGTGGGAAGTCACTGACAGCTTTTCGAGAACGATCTGGGGCTGTGGGATGGACTAGGAAGGAGGTTTCAGAAACAGCCTCCCTGCTGTCAGGATTCTGAGTGCATCCCATTCAGCTGTCAAGTAACTGGCTTAGTAGGTGGCATGGTGGTTAAGGTAGCTAGACTCCCACATGACTGACCATGGTTCAAGTCCTAGACCTAGCAAACTTGAAAGTCACACTGGGTATGTGTGCGTGTGCTCAAAATCCCAGGAGGAGGATGGAGGAGAGGGGACTGCAGCGTCTCACTTTCCCTCACTCTCTTTCTGTCTCTCTTTGGCAAGCACACACACTCTAAGGCAAAATCCTTAAAAAACAAATCAAAATTATTAAGTCAGCCCACCATGGCAGCACCCCTAAGCTAAGACAGAGCATTGCCAGCACCTTAGTGGCCTCCCTGGTGCGCTGATCCGGCTCCCTCCCTCCAGAACAGCTCCAGGGTCAGTTTGTTATAGCCCTTCCCTCACTTTCCTTTTTTTTAAAAAAATATTTAATTCCATTTGTTTGCGATCCGGCTCCCTCCCTCCAGAACAGCTCCGGGGTCAGTTTGTCATAGCCCTTCCCTCACTTTCCTTTTTTTAAAAAAATATTTAATTCCATTTGTTATTACTAATATTCTTTAATTTGACCAGACAGAGCCAAAGAGAGAAAAAGGGAAAACAAGAAAGCAAGCTGCCAGGTCTGGGACTTGAAATGGGTTAGGCTGTGTGGGAACCCAGCGCCTTTAACCACCATGCCACCCTCTGGTCCCTCCCTTACTTTTCTTTTCTTTTCTTTTTTTTTTTTTTTTTTTAAGAGGTTTTTCACTATAGGGCACATGCGCTCGCCAGACAGAGAGAGAGAGACAGAAAGACAGAAAGCGAGAAATCACCCCCAGGGGGTATGGTCATGCTGCAATCCCTTCTCCTCCATTCTCCTCTTGGGATCTTGGGCACGCATGCACACGCGCCTGGTGTGAGTTTAAGCCACCGGGTCCTGGACACGAACTGCGGTCGACTATGTGGGAGTTCAGCGACATAGCCATTACGCTAACTGCTGGTCCCTCCCTTACTTTTCTTAATAACGCCACCCAGAGGTTCATCTCCCAACGAAATGAGCTGTGCTCGTTTGTGAACCTCACGCAAATGTTTATGAACTTTGGTGCAGCTGTAACACCACGGGACCCCCATGGGGAGAGTCCTGGGGTCACATCCCAGAATCTCCCTGAGTATGCCGAGTGCATACGTGTGAACCGTGATCCAGGCCAGGGGGCTGGGGGAAAATCGTGGCAGGGGTCTGTCAAGGAGGCTCCCCTTTCTCTCTCTCTCTGAATAAATAGATAAACTGAAAACATTTTTAAAAACTCTGCTGCTTTCGTGTCCCGTTCTCACGGCGAGGCGCCTTGTGCATGCGGTCCATGCGCAGAGACGTTTTTGTCGCCACTGCAGTTGTGGGTGCAGCCTACAGCTCGTACTTCTCCGTCTTGGTGCCTGGGTCGAGCTGAAGACCCAGCCGTTCCTCAGTAAATGTCTGCTGATGAGATTGGGGGAGGAGGGCACCCCAAGGAGCAGTCGAGGCTGTTGCTGAGACCAAGCAAGAAATGCCCTGGAACTGGCCCCCAGGAGTTCCGCCTTCACCTCTCCCTTCTCAGTCTCTGCCCACTGCTTCTCTGTCCTGGGCAACCTGCCTCGCCATCTCCCTGGAAGTTAATTCCCATTCCTGCGTCTTTTTCCAGAATGCCGAACTGGGGAGGAGGCAAGAAGTGCGGGGTGTGCCAGAAAACGGTTTACTTTGCCGAGGAGGTTCAGTGCGAAGGCAACAGCTTCCATAAATCCTGCTTCCTGTGCAGTGAGTATGCGCGCGCCCCAGGTCGCTAGGGGACTGGAGCGCCACCCCCACAGGCTGGCCTGTCAACGCCCCAGGGAACTGGACCCAGGGGATGTAAACAGCTTGACATTTGGCTGAAGCGCAGCTGGAAGGGAGACACTTAAGGGCCTCTTTGTTCCCTTCAGAAGCTGCTTTCTAAGGGGCTGAACTGGCCGGAGCTGGTGGGCTGGGGTTCAGGGGCTGAGAGCCAAGCCCGAGACTCACTCGGTTAGGAAAACTTTCCACTGGGCTGTCTTCCCCTCTCTGCCACAATGCTGCCATTTCAGCCCAGGGGTTCTGTAGCTTCAGACCCAGGGGATCCCTTGTGAAGAGGCACCAGAGGCTGCAGCCTTTGGTGGAGCTGAGTCTGGAGGAGGAGCGAGGCTCCTTCCCAAGCCCTTTCTTCCCGTCCCTGCTCAGTAGCCAGGACAGGGGTAAGGAACAGGTTCTTTAATGCCCACTCCTAGTCATCCGGAGTAAGAGGTGCCCCATCACTGCTTGGATGAGAAGGAAGCCAGGCAAAGACACTGAGTGACTGAGCCAGGGACAGGGCGACCAAGGGAGCCTGACTCTGATGCAGGTTCCTGGGCCAGGGGGTGTCCCCACTAAGAGAGGTCTCTCCTCAGGCTTTCAACTGAGCCTGTGGTCCCAGCAGAAGAGGCCACTTCAGCAAGAAACATTTTTCTTCTTCTTTTTTGTTCTTTTTTGGAGAGTTTTTTGCTATAGGGCACATGCGTTCACCAGAAAGACAGAGAGAGACAGAGACAGCAAGTGAAAAATCACCCTCCGGGGGGATGGTCACGCTGCAATCCCTTCTCTTCCATTCTCCTCTCGGGATCTTGGGCACGCACGCACACGCGCCCAGTGTGAGTTTAAGCCACCGGGTCTGGGACTTGAACCGTGGTCAACTACATGGGAGTTCAACGACATAGCCATTACGCCAACTGCTGGTCCCAGGAAGCATTTTTCTTGAGGGCAGGTAAAACATGGGAGGCAGTGGAGCAGCCTAGTAAACCCCGGGCTTCAGAGCCAGTCAGATTCGGGTTTGAATCCAAAGGTAGTTTTTATTCTCAGCAGGTTACTCAGTTTGTCCCTGGCTGAGTTTTCTCATCATTACCTGGAAGTAATACACCTAGCTCACGGGTGGTTGTAGAATGAGAAGGGAGGAGCTTATAAAACAAAGCACTTAAAGTAATTAGCGGGTTCGATAAAGGCTACACAATCCCCTGACACGTGCACACACACACACACACATACTCACATGTACACGCAATGCTGAGGGACCCGCTGTGAGACAGTGTGATATGCCGGGGAGTCTGGGGGCTGACATCTCAGCCCACCTGGGAGCTCTGAGAAAGGGGGTCCTGTCCATCCTGCATCACAGGAAGCGTTGACGGGAGAGTGAAGGCCCCTTTGTTCCCAGGTGCTCTGTGCCCCCAGAACGAAATCCAGAAGGACCGAGGGCTGCCTATTTGCCAGATGCTCACCAGATCTCTACCTGTGGTTGGGCCGACCAGCCTAAAGCCACCCAGCTAAGAGCAGCAGGGACTGGACTCAGCGCCCAGGTGGACCCGGCGTGCCAGCCCCAGGGCTGCCCTGATGAGGGCAGGAGACCGGCCTCGTGGAGCTGCGCGGGCTTCGTGCCTGCAGGGAGGCTGCAGCAGCGGTGTCCTGTCCCCAGCGGTTCACTGCTCCCAGGACTCTCAAACCATTGCCTTCTTTCAGAGGGAGTGAGAAAGGGCTGAGTGCTGGCTAGGAAGAGGGGCCAGGCTGCTGGGGGTCCTGAGGGCCCCTCTCTGTTCCCAAATGTTGCTTCATCGTCGGCTAACAGGGGCCAGCTGCCGCCAGAGCCTCTGCCTGCAGCCTGCTCGCGGAGGAGGGGCTCCCGGTCAGCTGGCGGAGGAAGTCAGGCTTGGGGGTGGCATGGGGAAGAAGGAGCGGGACCTAGGGCAGGGTGAGGAGGTGTTGGGGATTAGAAACAGTTGTAGAAAGCTGGGCTGGAGAGAAGGGCTGGGGGCAGGGGGCAGGGTTGTGCAACCAACAGCCATTGGGAACAGCCTCACGTCTCCAGGGTCCCAGGCCAGTGTGGTCCCGGGTACCCAGTGCAGCTCCTGGGCACCGGAGCTCTGAGGGGCTGTGTTCGGCCCAGCGGTCTGAGGCATCGCCACTCCTTGCTCATTCCCAGCAGCAGAGCAGCACCCGGCGGGCAGTGGGTTCCTCAAAGACTTGTCGTTTCCCTTTTCCCACCCAGTGGGTGATGAATTCCAGCTAACCCACAGGACCGAAGGGCTTTCCCTCATATGCGAGGGAGAGGCTAGCAGGGTCTGGGCCTGGGTGGCAGTAAGGGCCACCCTCCTTGTTGGCTGAGCCCAGGTGAGTCCCCAAAGAAGCTCTCTGATCATTCAGTCCTGGGTTCTGCCTGGCTTGGCCACCTGCATCCCCGTTCCTGAGGGTCTGGGATGGGCAGGAAGAAGACAGGGTGATGGAGTAGGCAAAGTCGGGGGAACTCCTCTGGGCATGGTCTTTGTCCTGGGAGCAGGGACCCAGAGGACCTCAGCAGGGGTAGCCAGTTCCTATTAGCAAGCTGTGGTGCCCCGCGGCCAGGTACCTGTCTCTGAGCTGTGACCAGCTCCCTCCTGGGACAGGTGGGGTTACCAGCCAGCCCTGGTGGGAAGAAGAGCTGGTCTAGCTTAGCTGGTGGTAGCTGATGGGACAGGGCCCAGCAGGCCAGCCCTGGGCTGTCCTCCGAGAATGCAGGAACAGAGGAAGCCCTTGGGAGCCTTGCCTGCCCTCTGACCTTGACAAAGGCTTCCTGTCAAGTGTTCACCCTCACTGCCCCACATGCTGGGGCTCCTGCAGGCAAACCAGGGGCTGGTCTGGAAGTCAGGGTCCTCTTTCTGATAAATTACTTATGCTTCAACTTTTGCAGGGGGTTGGTCACAGTCACTCCCCGTCTTCGGGCCTGATGAGGGGGCTCTGACCTCTCCCCTGGGGCTGCCTCTTCCCTCTGTTTCCAAACAGCATCACAGGGTCCCTCAAGGCAGGGGCGTCCAGAAGCTCACCTCCCTCACAAGGGCACCCGCTAATCCAGCCGCTCTCAGGCTCACTGGATCAGTAGATACCCTGGCTTCCCATCCACCTTCCCCTGGACTGGGTCTCTCCTGGCCCTCACAAGTGAGCTGAGAGTCCCTGGCTATATCACCTGGTGAAGGCGGAGGGGCAGGGGGCCATGGTGGGGTGTCGAAGGTGGACCATGGAGACAGGACTGGCGGCAGTTTCTAAGGCAGGGAGAAAAGAGCAGTGAGATCCCGACGTGGAATCGGGAGCTGCTCCGTTAGCAGGCAGGAAAGTCATCTGGAGGGCTCAGCTGGTAGGCCCTGCTGTCTCCGGCCTGAATTCCAGGGCCTCTTGCTGGAGAGATCAGTCGAGAGACCTCTTACCCCAACGTGCTTATCTTCACCTTCTGCCTGTCCCTCGATCTTGGAATCCCAGCTGAATTTGGTCTTACGGGAAATGATTCAGGCCAGTCCCTGCCTTCCGCCCTAGAAGGGAATGTTGGAGCCCGTGGCCGGTTCTCTCTGCCTCCATCCAGGAGCCAAGCCCCAGGGGAGGTGCTGGGAAGTTCCATATTTGGGTGGCCCAGAGTGCTGGAATGAGGTGTAGAACTCCCAGGGCAGGACAGGAGGGTCCTTATTTAGTCTGAAGTCCCAACCTGGGACTCAGGGTGAGAGAGGAGCTGGCAGAAGGCTGGCCCCTTTAGAAGCAAGAGGACAGCAAGTTGGGAGAGCTTTCAGAGAGGATGGGAAGAGGCCCGGCCTGGCCAGGGGCTTCCTTAGGCTTCTGTCTTCTAAAGGACGTTGGAGGATATAGAATCACTGTGCATGCGGAACCCCAATATTTAAGGAATGCTGTATAACAACGTGTGAATTCTAGGACAAGACCTAAGGAAATGGAGTGGAACTGCCCCTTGGGAGGAGCTGGAGGTTACAGCAGTGTCTGGCGGTGTGGGCCTGCCCCGCCCCTCCCTGGTCTCCTTCTGGTACTGACTGTATCCAATACTACTAAGAGCAGCGGACATTAATTATGCACTGGTGCGTCAGGGTATTGTGCTGAGTACTCGGCATGCAAGAGCTCATTTGATTCTCACAAACATTTTTTGGACAGACATCTGCATCTACGGATTGAGGCTGGAAAGGCAAAATAACATACCTGAGACCACACGGCTGGAAAGGGGGAGAGCCGATTTGTTTCTGGGCAGTGGGGCCCTCCGTGACCCCAGCCTCTGAACTGGTTTACTCTTCATAGCTGAATAGCTGAGCGGGGCTTTCTCTGACATTAGCAGGAAGACCTACGAGGCCCACATCCTTTCTGGCTCATCCCATTCCCATCTTTCTTACCCAGGGAGCCAGGAAATTCTTCCTCATGTTTGACTCCACTTCTTCCTGTGACAGAGTAATTTCTGAGATTAAAAACGTCAGACCCGGGACCAGCAGTTAGCGTAATGGCTATATCACTGGACTCCCACGTAGTTGACCGCGGTTAGAGTCCCGGACCCGGCAGCTTAAACTCACGCTGGGCACATGTGCGTGCCCAAGATCCCGAGAGGAGAATGGAGGAGAAGGGATTGTGGTGTGGCCATACCCCTGGAGGGTGATTTCTCACTTTCTGTCTCTCTGTCTCTCTCTGTCTTTCTGGCGAGCGCATGCGCCCTATAGCAAAAACCTCTCCAAAAAAAAAAAAAAAAAAAAAAAAGAAATGTCAGACCCTGGGCCAGCAGGTGGAGATTAGGTGCTAGACTCCTACATGGCCAACCACAGTTCAAGTCTTAGACCCGGCAGTTCGAAAACTGGACACGTGTGCATGTATGCTCAACATCTTGAGAGAAGAATGGAACAGAAGGAATTGCAACATGGCCATCACTTCCGGGTAGTGATAGCTCTCTCTCTCTCTCTCTCTCTCTGTCTCCCTAGTGAGTGTACACACCTTAGGGCAAAAACACTAAAAAAAGGAAAAAAAGAAAAAAAAAAGAAAGAAAAGAAACATCAGATTCTATTGTGATTAGCATGGCCTGCATCTCATTCAAAGCCCACCATGCTGGGCACTTAGTACAGGTTCACCTTTTCTTCCTGCCCTCACTTTACCTGTCCCCGCTCCCGGCCCTCCCCTCAGCATGCACAGATGGTCTCTGGATTCCACTGTGGGGGCAGAGAAATCTTATCCTCTGCCTCCTTTCTTTTCTTTCTTTCTCCTTTTCTGTCCCTTCCTTTCTTCTTATCCATTCATCTAGAGAGAGAGACAGAGAGATGCACTCCCACAGGATCTCCACGCCGTGATCCACCCCCAGTCTCAGGCAGCCAAGATCATGGGTGTGCGTGCGTGTCCAGCATGCACAGGGCGGTCCTGGTATATGAACCTGGGACCTTCCTGCATGGGTCCAGCTGCATTACCACTGCACCGCTGCCTACATCACCCCACCTTTTCTTTTTGTCTTCCTCTCCTGTTGGGACACATGGTCTTTGCCAAGGGCAGAGTGAAGAACTTCAGAGATAGCCTATAGCGTGGAGTTAGTCCACGCTGTCACCTCTGAACTCGGAAGGATAAAAGGCTCCAGAGGACATGCACAGATTCTTGGATGAGGTGGCTTAGCCAACATCCAGAGATTTGCACATACAGATCCCATGGCTCTGTCTGCCATCCCACCAGCCTCCACTTCTAGGACCACTTCTGAGAGGTCAGGGTGTTATGCGTGCCGAGTGCCCAGCGAGCCTCAGCTGCAGGGCCCTGTGAACCGCTGCTCAGCCAGCACCCTCTCACCTACCCGCTTCCCCTCCACAGTGGTCTGCAAGAAGAATCTGGACAGCACCACCGTGGCCGTGCACGGGGAGGAGATTTACTGCAAGTCCTGCTACGGCAAGAAGTATGGGCCTAAAGGCTACGGCTACGGCCAGGGCGCAGGCACGCTGAGCACTGACAAGGGCGAGTCGCTGGGCATCAAGCACGAGGAGTGAGTGAACGGCCCTCTCCGGCCTGCTCTTCCGCTCCTGCCTCCCTCTAATGGCACATTCTCAATGGCTTCTGCTCCCTCAGCGGAGGCTGCAAAGCCACTGACTGAAAAGGTGGTCGTAGCGTACCCTTTCTCCTCATGGGAGGAACTGGAA